TTTTCCATCAAAGTATGATGCTTCCTCCAGTTCGTTTTTTTATTTCTGCACACTTCGTATATGCATTCGCATGCTCCACTCTAGTTCGTTGTTTGGGATGTTTCTATACCAATCGCTGGTATAGACCTGCTACAACCGCGTAATCTACTCATGGACACGTGCGAACGAAAGTTTTTCGTGCCTATAGGTAACCCTCGTGTTATTGATAGAAGAAGTCAGACAAAAAGTGAATTAGTCTTTATTTCGATCTTAGCGCAGTCACAGTGGAGCGTGGGATTATCTGTTCAGACAAACAAAATCCTTCAACATTCAATATAAGATAATAAGGAATATAACGCTTATACAAAATAAGGAAGTGAATGAATACTTGAACAATACTGTTTTGGCATATGTTTGGTTGTTTGGGGTCAACTCTTAACCAATCAACCTATGCTGTTAGAAGTTATGAGACGAAAATAATAGATTGTCCGTTTGTAGGTTTTCATTTTCTGGTTGCAGATTGTTAAGCACATAATCGATCGATACTACCAACAAATACAAGTTCCCAAAATATACCGAACGTGACCAAACTTACCGTGTGTAACAAGCAACATTGAACATCATATCACGACTACAGGACCGCCTGATTTTTCGAAAGTGCGACGACTAGCTTGTGTGCATCACTCTAGCAAATGTTCTCTAAAAAGGAGTGTCAACGATTGGCGTTCAACTGGTGATTATTGACTATACAGTAAGAAAACCACTCCAGGTCGTTACCACTTGTTGCACGTTTGTGACCCGACAGTTGAAACATACAACTGCTTTCTCTAAAATCGATCTGGTCAAAGCATGCAACCGAATTCCCATGGTTGCAGGCGACATTCCTAAAAACAGAATCGTCGATGACTTCTTTCAACTGACTTCGTACATGCGCATGTCAATGACTGCTTGTCTCAAGTCTGAATATAGAATCTCACCTCCAGAGTTTGAACCTTGTTTTCGAACGACTGCAAAACCATATCATCACTGCGAACATTTGGAAACTTCAGAATGAAACCGACTCTATAGATTTTATCGAACACGTTGATGCTCAAGACATCCGCCTCTAAAAGACGAAGTAACAGCCTTTCTGGACTACCCAGAACCGACCACAGTCAAGCAGTTACGTATGCTCATCTTCCTGTCAAGTTTTCACTGACGGTTCATACGGATAGCGCGTCTCTTATGAAACCTTTAATAGACCAACATTGGGGACACTCGAAACTCACCAATTTAGACGATAACGCAAAAAATGCATTCTCTACAATTAAGTAAATTATCTCAGACGCAACTATGCTAGCACATCATGAAATCAAAGCAGTAGACGTATCCAGATCGACAAACGGAGTAGTTTTATAACAATAGGTGGACAACACCAGGTAATCCTTAGCATTCTAATCAAGGAGGTTGACAGACACTGAATCGAGATATGATGCTTTCGATAGCTAACCGGTAGTCACACATTGTGCTGTACGACACTTTCAACTCTTCGTAGAAGGCCGAAAATTCACTCTTTTCACAGATTACAAACATTTCACCCTCTTTCCAGGCTCGTTTTCACGAAAGTATTCCTCTCACTAGTCTCACCAACTGGACTATATTTAACAGTTTACCTCAGATACACAACAGATTTATAAGGCAAACAATACTGTTGCAGACGCCTTGTCTAGTATAAAAGTTCCTTAAACTAGACCAGCTTCAAAAAGAAGACTTTGATCTTCAGCGCGAGTTAACTTTCACAACCCTGAAACTGAGTATTAAATATATGGGAAAATGTAAGGGGACTTTATCATGTGAAAGATCTACATGTAGGGATTGTCCAACCATACCGGAACACTATCAACATGCTGCATATCCTTTCTCATCCAGGTGTTCGAGCAACTATCATTTTAATCGCAAAACGATTTCATTGGTCTGGTGTGAGTGAAGCCATGAGGGAGTGGACACGTTTCTGTGCAAACTACTGGAAATCCAGGGTGATTAGACACAACAAATATCGCTTGGGTTCTTACAAAATTCCCGACGCTCATTCTGAACAGTTTCTTCCTGATATGTTAGACCTTTTACCAGATCCACATTGACAGTGTTACCTCTTAACGTATGCAGACATGTTCATATGATGGCCAGAAGTAGTACCCATCAAGGACATTACTACTGAAACAGTGCCTTCTTCAAACGATGGACAGAAATCTTTAGCTGCTCTTCATTTATCCCTACAGACCGTGACACCAGTTCGAATCCGTACTTTCCCGTTGTCTTACTACATTGCTAGGATTCACACGATTTCGAATGGTCACCTTCCACTCACAAGCTTTAGTGTTGGTAGAACGGTTTCGTCGACAGTTAGAAGCTTCATTCTCAGCTGCGAATGTTTCATATTGGACTGACGTACTTCTACACATTTTACTCGATATTTGCAATGCAATCGAAGCTGACGTTGGATACACTGCAACACAACTCGTTTACGGAACAACACTTCTACATCTCGTTCAGTAAATGTGGATCTGGACTTCTACACGAACGGGCTTGCAAACACCACGCATTCAGTCAAAACGCGTTTCACCACACTACAGTCAACTGGTGTTTTCGTCCGACTTGCTTTACGACACAGTATAGACGCTTTTGTACATCATAATTCAATATGAAGACCTCTCAAAACAGTATACAAAGGACCCTTCACAGTCCTTTATGGTAAACCTAAATGAGATATTATTAACAAATATGGCCCTAACGACTATGTCAGAATTGATCGTTTTAAAGCCGCGTATTTAAAAGCAGACCCTGACTATGTTGATTTTCTCCCTATACACTCGAACGACACGAGCCTCAAAATCGTGACAGCCTACCCAATAATCAAAAATGAGGACGACAATTAGCTCGCATCTGACAGCCGGCCCAAAACAATGCGCTCTGGATGAGGGGCTGGGTTCTTAGATCACCTGAACGACTAGTACTCGTAAGACACTGAATAACAGTTTGTTTCACCTCGTTTGTTTTTACTGTTGTATCAAAAACCAAAACAAACATTTTTATGTGCTCATGTGTGTGTACTTTTTCAAAAAATTCAAAAAAAATCGTTATCCAGAAATTGCGCTTCAGGGAAACGAATGTATACCAATGTATTTTCTTTATTCTGTTTTGTGTCCTGACGCACATACGGGTTCTGTAAGTCTTCGACATTGATACTGACTTCATTAGTTTTGCTGGACTCGCTCTAGCTGATGGCGCTCAGTTACACATCCGCATCAGATGACGTGTGGGTACGTCATGCTACGGGTCCCCTGAAACTATCAGCCAGCTTAGACCAAACGCCACCTGATATATCGGTAGCCTACAAGATACATCTTCAAACCTCTTAGTTTCTGACTTCTGACTTGACTGCGTGATATACTTCGATTATAAAGGTATTGCGTGTAATGGCGTTGTCAAACTTTGAATAATTATGGCATCTTAAGTTTCATTACATGAACTTGTCCAACACATTGTTCATATATTCGCTCAGGTATTTCCTTGTCGCGTTTTGCTGGTTCGTCTTTTTATTAACCTTACCAACTTAGTATCTCAATCATAAACGCTTTTTGTAAGTTATCGATCATATCTGTGAAGGTGGACCGAACGTGATACGTCAGGAGTAAATTTTTACTGTTATATCATATCATTATTACCATTCGATCGTAAGGACATCATTGAATAAATAGATGACAGTACTCCTCGGTGCATTATTTAGTCCATCATTTTGTATTTGCAGTCATTAGATGTAATGTCGGTCTTTAAACTACAAGAGTGTGGGGAGCAACCAATAACCACACAATACCGGAATTTATGCGGAAACTAGAGCAAAATAGGCTGGACGTAATAAATAAAGTTGGGAAGAGTACGAATAAAAACTTCAAATGAGCGGAAAAACTTGCGCGGAAGATTTGAAAGACAGGGGTTAGAACGAGACTAAGCTGACCAGTGGATTTGTATCCGACCTTGGACTTTTATTCCTTTTAATTTTTGTGGACAACACCACTTGGAAGTTGTCTTCGGGCTGTTATCTGTTGCTAGTGATATAAGTCTTTCAAGTCAAGACTGCAACCAAGAGGAACGATATGCTATTAAGAGGATTTGACATGACTTCCAAGTTCAGTGGGTAGCAACCAACTAACTTTCTTGAAAAGCTTAAAATCGTCCATTCGTCGTACTAAACAAACCACATAATTAACATAAATAATTGCATATGGAAAAACAATATCTTCCTCACTCCAAAGGAATAATTTGGAGCACATCCCGAGAATAACCACGAAATGAATTCGTGGTTTAAATCCTTGAAAACAAGGGATTTATGCTACTTAAAAATTATGAAGCTCAGGGGCGATTTAATTTTAACCTTTTGTTTCTATTATTTCTTCAGAGTCTTGCTCTGAGAGCACAGCTATGACACTTCTGACGTTTGGAACAAACTTGATGTACGCGTCCCCTCAAGGTCATAGTTTACAGCAAGCGCTCTACGATTTCACTTTATAACAACTATAAACTTAATAAGTTAGGAAACATTTTGTGAACCAACAAATGTTGTAATTTATAGATCATGCCTGTAAAAACGGCGTGTGCCTGCACATGCAGAAATATATTATTATTAAAAGCATTCATGAGTATCCTTTAAGTCCAATTTTGACACAAACCTCAGTAGAAGCACTCGGGAATTCCAGGCATCATATAATAGACTAGATTGTGAGCATTTCCTTCTCTTCTTTAGAAGGGTTGAAGTCCTCAAATCACTTGAAACCTGACTTAGTCTAAAAAAACGTAGACTTCTTCAAACGAAGAAGACGAAGTAACACAGGTTATACTGAATCTTCTCGATGTCTTAAATAATGTTAAAACCAAGGTGTTTTCATTTAAGCCCTTTACGTATACTTCAGCCTCCACTTGGACTCAACTACGACTTACTACAACCAGGTTCAATTTAGTCAATTGAAAGTTTCTCTATTCAATCCACAATCATCTGTTTGATGTTCTGCGCTACATAAAGTAGTCTGTTGTCCAGTGGATTGCGAATTTCATAAAAGTAAACGTTCTCCTGGTTTATATTCTTTTAGAAAAGTAAGTAACAAATATGGCTACAACTACAAATAAATTAATCAGCATACTAAAAGGTTTTGATGAGAATTTATATGTATGTACTTGCCAAGGAGTTAAGTATTCCTATTCTGATGTATTATAAGACAAGTTATTTGAGTCCCTAGAGCTTTATATTTGTCCCAACTTGGGATCTTGCCGATAGAAAAGACTTAGAGATGATTTTGGTTCATACTCATATACTAGTGGTCAATGTGCACCGCTACTGTAAAGACAAAATGTTGAATATCTCTCTCATCTGTCGCCAGATCATTTTCTGTTCAACGTCTTCACATTTTACAGAGAGTCTTGTGGCTTATAATCGGGCTAGGTTCAGAATAGTTGCTCCACACGTTTCCTATCTAATATATATGTATATGGGTAAGCTGTTTAACATCCTAAAAATCTTTTAGCAAATTATTTCTAGTGACTTTATATAGTGTTTCTATACAAGACATGAAAGACTCTATTAAACTGACAGGTTAAAAGAGTTTTATAACCTTTATAAGAAATCTAAGGCGAAATTTCCTCAACAACAATATATTTATACTGGATTGTATTTCGAGTAAAGGAAAAGAATCGAAAACGTACAAGTTATGTATGGGTTTAAAAAATTTTTTTTATCAAGAAAGAGCTAGTATCGTGTTGTTTTGTTTTCATATGTCATTTGAACTACGAGATGCTACAAAGTTACCCTCCTTTTCGATCCCTAATATATTCAGCTCTGAGTTGAGGTATGTTATATGCTTCTGTGCTGTCGAGAATCACTGAGTTTCCCGCAAATCTAACGGCTAGCGTAATTTTGATTGGTTTAGCAATATATTAATTTTACCATTAACTTATTTTTCACCATATATACAGCTCAAATATTTACCTCCTTTGTAGTGTCTAAAGCACAATTTGTAATGTTATTTAAGTTTCGAATTGCATGACTCCAAACGTCAATATATACTACTGACATATAGTTTTTTCTATTGGTTTTGTAATACATGTGTTTTCTCAAACGCTTTAGCTGTTGTTATCACTTAAATGTCACTGCGATTGACGTGCAGAATACCAAGATTTCGTGACGTTGCCCGACACATCTCGTCTTCCCCAGTTTTGTCCAAACAACCATTTCATGACAAACTACGATCTAAAAGATCCAACCCACCACCACATCATTCACTCCCTTTTTATGATGAAGCACCACCTGATAGCTTTCCGAGTAAACAAATGGATATTGTTGGTCAGTGGGGTTCTACAGACAGTAATATAAAGAGATTAAGGTAATTTATTGTATGCTTTATATATATATATAACACTTACTGATCGGTAATGAGTGGATTATTTCATGTTCAGCTGAGTTTTTATCGTTTGGCAACATTTCCCATATTTCTAGCTAGAATATTCCCAAAAAACATTCGGAACTTCATGTTCAATTGTTATCGTAATTAGACAGTTTCTTGAATCCAGTAGTCATTACAGTTCACTAACAGATGCTGAACAGAAAAGTTTAAGTTCAGAAGAGATTCTGTTGTACTTCAGTTATGAAGAAAACCCTTCGAGCACACAAGGAGTTGAACTGATTCTATCCAGCGAAGCACTTACAGTATGAGAATCTCATAGATCCAGAACCATTTAAGCATCCTTGAGAAAAAGGACGGGATCATAATGAATGTTACCCAGTTCTGTGCGCCGACCAATGATAAAAATCAGTCTTATAAAAGGTTGCAATCGGTCGTAGAGAAGTGTTCAGAAAAAGACTTGACCATCCAGATAAGAGACCTAAACGCCAATATCGGAATTGACAACATTATGTATGAAAATACCATGAGACAACATGGACTGGGAGAATGGGAAGGAATTTGCAGATTTATATGCATTCAACAAAATGGTTGTTTGACACTATGTTCCTCCACAAACAGATGCACAAAGCTACATGTTTCTCATCGGATCACACTACAGAGAAACAGATCGATCATATTTGAATTTAAAATTCAGGTCACTTGGAAGATATGAAAACCAAGAGAAGGGCTGAAATAGCTTAAGATCACCACCTGATTTTGGCCAAAATGAAACTGAAGCTAATGAGACACTAGACAACTAGAGAAACATTGCAAATGTTTAATACAGCTTTCCTTCAGAATACTGACAAACTCAATGAATTCAAGGTAGCTCTCAGCTAGAGGTTCCAAGCCTTACAGGACAAACTTAAAAAGAAGAAACTGCCATAAAGAAGAACTGGGAAGGGATCAAAGAAGCACCAACTTCAACATGTCAGAAGGTTCTGGGCCGTAAGAAGTATTTTCATAAGGAATGAATCCCGATCGAAACCCTTTATAGAATTCAAGAAAGGAAGAACAAAAAGGCAGCGCTTAACAACAGTCGAACAAAAGCAAAACAATTCAAGGCACAGGCCGAACATACAGAAGCAAACAAAAGAGTGAAGAGGAAAGTTGGAGCTGACGAGCGAAAATACATAAAAAATCTAGCAACGCCAACGGAAAAAGCTACTAGAGCAGAGAATATGATACAACGACAAAACTAGCAGGCGAATATTGTAAACCATAGAGAACAGGCAAGAACAAAGACGGTAAGTCAATCACTGAGATTCAAGAACAATGGAACAAGTAGGTAGAGAACTTTGAAGGACTCTTGAATAGAATAGCCCCACTGGTTTCAGCGGAAATCGAAGCAGCACACACAGAAACCCTTCTATGGATGTCGCTTTACCAACGATCGAGGAAATTAGCGAGGCCACCAGACAAATAAAGAGTGGGAAAGCAGAAAGACCTGACAACATGCCAGATGAAACGCTGCGGTCAGACATAGAAGTAACTGCAAGCATGCTCCACGTTCTATTCAGGAAGATTCAGTGGAGAGAACAATTGCCACCGGCAGACTGGAAAGAAAGATACCTCAAAAAGATACCAAAGAAAAGAAATCTGAGCAAGTGTACCATGAAAAGTTTCAAACACAGTGTTGCTTAACCGGATGAAAGATCCAGTAAACGCCAAACTTCGAGATGAACAGGTTGGATTCCGCAACGATCGGTTGTGCACAGATCAAATGGAGACACTACAGATCGTTGTTGAGCAGTCGGTTTGATGAAATTCGTCACTACACATAAACGTCTTCGACTATGCGAAATTGTGTGACAGTGTAGATAGTATAATCTTATGGAGCCTTCTTCTACATTATGATATGCCAAGGAAAATCATCAACATCAAATGGAATTTACACGACGGACTACACTGAAAAACAGCGCATGTTAGACAGCTGGCAGACACATTCCAAGTGAGAACTGGAATCAGACAAGGCTGCTTAATCTACCTCTTTCTCTTTCTTATGGTGGTCGACTGGATTATGCAGACCTCTACATCTGAGGGGAAGAACGGAATAAAATGGACAACTCGTATGCGACCAGACGATTTGGACTTTGCAGTTGACCTAGCTCTTCTATTTCATACACACGAAAAAATGCAGATGAAGACAACCAGTGTAGCAGAAGCCTCAACATACACAAGGGGAAAAGTAAGATCCTTAAATACAACACAGAGAACACCAACCAAATCACATTTGTTGGAGAAGCTGTAGAAGAGGTGGAACCTTACACATACCTGGACAGCATCATCGATAAACAAGAAAGATCTGATACAAATGTAAAGACAATGATTGGCAATGCAAGGGCGGCATTTCTACAACTGAAGAACATATGGAACTCAAAACAACTGTCAGCCAACACCAAAGTCAGAATCCTTGATACGAACGTCAAGACAGTTCTACTGTACGGAGCCGAAACTTCGAGAACTACCACAACCATCTGCAAAAATGTACAAGTAATTATAAACAATTGTCTACGCAAGGTAATCAATGTCCGTTGAACGGATACCACCAGCAACAGTCTACTGTAGGAGCAAACAAACCAGATTCGAGGTAAGGAGAAAATTAAGAAAAGATGTTTCTGGTGAATAGGACATACATTACAAAAATCACCAAAATGTATCTCGAGGCAAGTGCTAACTTGGAATCTTGAAGGGAAGAGGAAGACTAAGGAACACACTACTCCGAGGATCGGAAGCAGACATCGAAAGAATCAATATCAATTGGAAACAACTGGAAATGATTTTCCATGATAGATTTCGATAGAGAACTGCAGTTCGTATGATAGTTCATACCCCAGTTTGTTAATAGACATGTCGAAATAAGAATTTCATACTTTTATCGTTGAAAATTTCTTTGCAAATGTAAATTATGTAGAAGGAAGAATTTGGACTCGATAACACTGGTTAATAAGGTATAGAATAAATGTCACTGCAAAACATTGAATTCGTAGAAGCTACGTAAGTATCTACTTAACTAAGATAATTAGTACAGTCTGTCTTAAATGTTAAAGGATATTAGAAATGTGATTGTATTTAGTGGTCACTGTTTGTGTTGTCTGGAGTACACATTTTTCTATTCAGAACTATGAGGGTCTATGACTTTTTTAATGTTATAACGGATTATAGTTCAAATGAGACTTAAGTGGTATATCCGATGCTCAGTGTCTTGTCAATTTTCAAGCCATCCTATATAGTATTTCTGAACGTCAAATCACTTTGGTTTACTGCGTATGTAAATTATTATACTACAGTTTCAGTGTCAATTATAACTTCTAAAATCTTATTTTACATCACCTATAGGTTTCGTCATGGTGAATTCTTAAAAACTATACCAACGTCATTTGAAAAACTCCAGGAGTTGTATTTTCTTGAGGATAACATGTGGTTTCATTCCATTGATATTCCTTTACAACATCCTGAAATGTTAGAATTTTCTCAATTTGTCACGCGTACAAAACTCGTTCCATGGATACCAGAGTCATACGACAGCAATCCAATTTTGTCGAGTTATTTAAAGTATCTTTTTTCTGAAGAGTTACATTCTGTTAACAGTAAACCTGTTAATATCCATGATCAGAGTATTAATGGACTTAATTTACGTGCAGATTATCGACGCAAAAAAATATCAATGATTATGGAAACAGTATATCGGGCATTTTTATCTGCTAGAACAGAATCACTAGTTAACGAGTTATCCACACAAATTGATGAACGCGCTACCATTGAAATATTTTTAAAACGACTAGTCGATCACGAAGTATTTGAAAACTCCGAGAATGTAAATGAAGATGTTTATGAACCCGTAAACGAGACAATTGTTGACGTCGAACGTTGTGTACATTATCGTATTCGGTCTGAGTTAGCTTGGCAGTTGCGGGGGCCATTTCCTTTAAAGCCTGTAAGTAAGCATAATTTCACATGAAACTACTGTTAAAGTGTATTTTGCATGCACTATAAATAATAAATCTCAATATTTACATATTTAGAAAGTTCGTGGTAAATGTTACAGTAATAATTAACAACTCGAATACAAGCCGACAGTGGGCTCGGTATATATATATATATATATATATATATATATATATATATATATATATATATATATATATATATATGATGTATACTGATTCTCTCAGAGAATCACCTCCTGTATCATGTCTCCATTTATTTCCCCCATCCTAACAGAAATTGACATGTGTAAACGAGCTATAAATATAGGCGAAGTGTACCGTAACTTGAATAAAGGCACTTTTTTCAACTATTTCTCGCTTAAAATGTTTGATGCAGTTTACTAGCATAAGACTGTCGAATTTTTACGTTCTTAACTTACGGTAATACAAGAATAGATTTATGTAGATAAATTATCGTATTCCTGCATAGGTCTAAAACTATTCCTATCTCGCTCTATACTGTTGTGTATGATCAGCCATTATTTTATTTGACAAATTATCAAATATATCTTACAATATAGAATTCAACTTATGTACTGCATAGTAATTTGTATACGTATAGCCATTTAATTGTGCGATGGTTAGTCAGTTAGATTAAGCATGAATTCGTGATTGAAAATTTAGGAATTTGATCCCTTCTTATATTATGTAGTAGGACGGATAATGAAAAAAAAGATTATATAATTACGGGTAATCTTAGAGCACTTATTATTCTTAGTTATAATAATTTGATGTGTTAGCATACGTTTGTGTAATGTGACAGCTAATTTTTATTACCACGGAATGATGTTTCAACTGAACTGATCACTTAGAGCTGCATCTCTGATTATAACAAGTATTAGTTAATGTTTGTGTAGATCTTCATATTTTTAAATTGTATAACACAGATTTTCACACAATTCAGTTATTTCCGTCTTATTTTTTTTTAAACAATTAGCATTTTAATCTAGACGATCCAATTTGCTTTCTAGAAAACCCTATTGTATGCAATTATCGCCCTGAAGCATTTGATTTGCAACATACTGAGTGTTATAATTTCAATTGTTTACCATTTGCAAGAACGATCGATTTTTCCGAATTTGCTCGATCTATTGCAGGTGACTCGTGACAACAGATACTATTATTATTGTCACTTTTTTAATTATATTTAGTACTTTGGTATTTCATATTTTCATTTCTTCATTTTAAACTGTCATTGAAGTGAACTTATAATAATCATTACCGTAAGGAGTTGTAAGGATTGTTGATTTTCATAGTTTGCATCACAAACTGACTTTAATTCGACGTCCATTAAGAACCTGAAAGCAGTGGACCGCTATTTCATTCCACTATGAAACTAAACAGCCGACATCTATGATTACCCCAGGAATCAAACCCAGAACTTCAAGGACTGGCCTCCAGCGCTTATACTACTGAGTCAGCATTCATTGGTTTATAATTTTAATTTCAACCAATCTGTCATATTGCGTTACCATCCTTCAATTCCAATGTTAGGTAACTGCCTTACACTTACCATGGTTGGACTTTATTGGTCACATTTCACTAACTAGTTGGAATGTAAAGCATTGCATGCTGATGGCTGAACTCGATTTTTCATAGGATTGGTTTGATCATATAAATTAGTTATCACATCTAGTAATCACTTTGAGATGGTAGAGAAGATTTGTAGCTCAGGTAGATAATTGTGGTGAAATTTCGTTCTCTGAGCTGGATGGTAGTAATCACGTTGTTTGTCCTTTAGATTATTGTTCCCATACCTAATTGTATCTAATCTTTTCTAATTTGTGTTATGAAAAATACAGGTTATTGGTCTCGCACACCATTCTGGGAAGGAGATCCTTGTGAATTTGGTTTACTTGGAGTTCTTGATTTAAATCGTTCCGAATGTGTACGAAATGAAATTAGTTGTTCTGGTCTTCCAGATAATGTAAAAAGTAATATTTTAATACGACATGGAATTGCTGAGGGTGTTCTTACAGCATTTGCATGGGCGTCAGCCCAAGCTTACAATCAAGGTTAGTGTAAACTACTAATTGCGTTTTTTTCATTTCAATTTCGTTTACACACTCACCAAATCAAAATATAGACAAAATAAATTCACTTGGTATTGTTTACTTGAATCTTTTCATTGATGTTTAGGGCTGCAGTTGATCAGTCTCATATTGGCATATGTGCATACTGTGCGTATTGCCTCGATAGTGCCTTACTTCACAAGCATTATAAGCAAAGGTGGATAGTGGCTAGCAGTAGAGTCCAGTTTGACTCGCGTTTCGTCCTACTTGGGACTCGTCAGCTGGGTGTACCTGCATCTCAGAGTCGATGTTCACTCAGCGACTCGAATGCATTACCGTTCGCTTCAAACGCAATCAACTTTGAGATGCAGGTACATCCGTCTATCAATTAAGGGACGAGTATACTACGCGATGGTTCGTTCTGTTTTACTTTACGGCTGCGAAACGTGGCCGTTAAGAATAGAAGATATTCGTAAGCTACTAGTAATTAACCACAAATGTCTTAGGAATATTGCTCTCATCTGCTGGGATCACCGGATAAGTAATAGTGAGGTTGGACTCAGGATATTACGGCATGATGGTAAATTATTTGATCAGGTTGTGAATCTCCATCGATTGGGATGGTTGGGCCACGTGGTCAGTCAGTCAGCTACAACGTAGGACCAGGCACATATGTGCATCGGTCCAGGTTGCCATACCGCATCAGCACAACAAGATGAACACCGGATTCATAGGAGTGGTTAGGTTAAAGGTGGTAATATATAGGAGAAAGATTGCATATAAGGATACAGTACCGGAATATAGAATTAGTTCGTAGAAAGAAAGATACGAAGCGATTTTAATCTCTTAGTTTAAGGGAAGACAGGGAGTGTATTCACCGACGCCATTGTGATCGATTCTGAGCCATGTCACCAAGAGTCTCCAACCATTGGTTACGATAGTCACGCGGACCCCAACCAAGTAGTCTGTATCTACCAACATGGCTCAGACTAGAAGTTAGTGACTTCAAGTACTGATGCCACGTTTTGGTTTGGCCGCCCCTAACTTTCTTCCAACCATTTCCAATACCGGATAGCATTGCACGTCGTGGTAATCGGTGTTCAGGCATACGTAACACGTGGCCCAACCATCTCAGTCGATGAAGATTCATAACCTCATCAACTGATTTACCATAATTACCTAATACCCTGAGTCTAACCTCACTATTACTTACACGGTTATCCCAGCAGACGCCAGAAATATTTCTAAGGCATCTGTGGTCAAATACTAATAGCTTACGAGCGTCTTCTACTCTTAATGGCCATGTTTCGCTGCCGTAAAGTAAAACAGAACGGACTGCCGCGCAGTATACTCGTCCTTTTATTGATAGACGGATATCTCGCCTTCGCTATAGATGAAGTAAGTTGGCAAAAGCCAAACGAGCTTTTCGAATCCGTGCTGAAATTTCGTCCGATACGAACCCATTAGGGCTGATCAGACTTCCAAGATAAGTGAAGTTGTCGACACGTTCGACTAAGTCACTCCCTTTCCTTAGTTCAGGTGTTGACGCAGATCAGTCCTGAAGCAACAACTTGCATTTAGAGGGAGAGAAGCGCATTCCAGACATCCTGGCATTGTTGCTCAGTGCTACCAGAAGACTCTGCATTTTGTCAGCGTCTTCACCAAACAGGACTATGTCATCTGCGTATTCTAAGTCGATAAGTGTACCTCCTGGATGGAGATCAATACCCGAGAACTCAGTCGACGAGAAAGTTATTTCCATCAGTAGATCTATGATAAAGTTAAACAGAAATGGAGAAAGTGCACAGCCTTGACGGGCACCACTTGAGGTTGCGAAAGTAGATGACAGTTCGCCATAAGCTCTCACTCGACTAGTGGTGTTCGCGTAAAGAGCCTTTACAAGGTTTATGTACTTCTGGGGTACGCCTTTCAATGACAGATACTGCCACAGAATCTCGCGGTCTACAGAGTCAAATGCTGCTTTTAAGTCAAGAAAGACCACCATTGTCGGACGCCGATAAGTATGCCTATGTTCTAGAACCTGACGAATGGTGAATATGTGGTCGATGCAGCCACGACCAGGTCTGAAGCCAGCTTGGTTTTCTCGTGTTTGCAGTTCACGAGTCTTAGTTTGGCGTCTGATTATTATTGAGGCTAGTATTTTAGATACTATATTTGTTAAACTAATCCCTCTGTGGTTGTCACAGAATGATTTTGACCCTTTCTTATATATTGGGACGATAAGTGATTGTGACCAGTTAGATGGAATAACGTCTAACTCCCAGATCTTAGCTAAAATATTAGTCAACCTAATCGCTAAAATTGGGCCACCATCCTTAAAGGCTTCTGGAGCCAATCCATCTGGACCAGCTGCCCTTCCTCGTTTCAGATTATCTATAGCCTTTTGAACTTCTGCTAGAGTTGGGGGACCTACTTCAATGTTCCATTCACGCTGTCTGGGAATGGAGGGTAGTTGTAGAGTAGCTGAAGGCCAGCTGAACTGTTCTCTGAAATGTTCCGCCCATCGTTCTAAACGTCTGGACTGGGAGCAGATGAGTGTATCGTCTTTCTCCGATATAATCTCACTTACACTTGACTTATTAATTCCAGTTTCTTTTATTAGTCTGTAGAGCTGTCTTGTGTTTCCTATAGCCGCCTCCTTTTCCATCTCTTTTGCTTTCGTTGCCCACCACTGCTCACGGTCGTTTCTTAGACTTTTTCTTAACCTAGATCTGATTTGTTGTTGCTCTTCATCATGTTCGGAACCTGATGGGACGAGTTTGCGAGAATCCGTCAGTGTGATAGACTTTGAAGAAATCCACTGGTTCTTTGAAACTCTGTGGTTTAAGTTGCTAATAGATGTCACTGCTGCTTCCACAGCTGCTTGTATGTCTTTCCAAGCAACATCTGGGTCAGCCTTGTCTTCAGAACTACCTAATTGTGAACTCAGTTGTTCTTGGAACCTATTTTTGGTTTTCTCGTTGCTCAACTCAGTTCTAATGGGTCTTTTTAATGTGGCTTTTTTGCGTCCGGTGAGGCGCAAGCAGATGCGTGCCCGTATTAGGGCGTGGTCGGAGTCCAAGCAGGTACTCCAGAATGAGCGACAATCTTCTACCAACCCTCTCCAACGATGACTGATGGCAATATGATCTGTTTGAGTCCATCGTTGGTTTGGTGTAGGGGGGTCGCCATGTTAGACGATGTCTTTCCTTATGCTTAAAATTTGTGTTTGCTAAAAATAAACGATTGTCTAAGCACAGTTGCAGCAGACGATCACCATTATCTGTTCGCTGTGCCGGAATGCTAAAATATCCACCTAAATGCCTTTCTGTTTGGTTTAAGCTACCCATCTGAGCATTAAAGTCACCTGCTACGAGTACTATGTCTGAGCGTTTAGCTTTCTGAAGAAGTTCAGAAAGCTTTCTGTAAAATTCATCTTTCACATCATCTGAGCTGCAGTCAGTGAGAGCGTAGGCAGAAACGACAAAAAGGCAACGACGTGTGTCCCTATCCTTCCGAGTTCTTACGGAGCCGTTTAGCCGAACAGCACGTAGACGACTGTTGACGGGGATCCACTCTAGCAGTGCTTGTTCCGCCCTCATGCTTAGTGCTATGCCTACACCTGCCAGTCCACGAGAACTGGCCATCGGGTCACCAGATACACGGAGGGTGTATCTCGTTGGCTCTCCGTTTTGCCGAGGTGAGGTCAAGTGAATGACCACACTGGAATCCTGTATGCGTGTTTCGGAGACACAGCATACATCAATGGAAAGAGACTCTAGGGTTTTAGCCAAGGAAGCCTGCTGACCGATTTGACATAGAGTGCGTACGTCGAAAGCTCCAATGTGTAGTTTGGAGCGAGGTTTCAGTAGACCTGGGACAGAGTTTTGAGCACTAGAATCGTTGGCTATGGTGACACTTGAGGAAGAAGCCGAAGGAGGAAGTTTAGGGTTGACAGTCGATGTAGGAGGAATAATAGGAATTGAAGAGGAAGGTTGATTATGAATACAGTGGTCTTGGGTGCTGTTAGAGGTATGAGGGCGGTTATCACTTCCCGGTCGCCCACACCGTGGAAGGGTTCTTCTGGAGGTACCCGAAAAGGAACTTGGATTAGAGGCGGTCTCAGCGACCTGAGAGCGTGACCGCACTGCCCAAGGGACAACTGCTTGAGGCCGGTCGCGCACGGCGTTTTCGTGGAAGGTTTTTGACGTGTTAGCTTCGTTCTTCAAAGAGCCTTACCGCCGGAGACGGAAATCCGTGAGGTAAGGTGAGGTGTGAATTTTTAGGGTTGACCTTTTCTAACCCCACCCCTCCTTGTGGGAAGGCAGCATCGCTGTCATGCTGGTTGTCTGAAAGAAACATCTTACTGCTGTCACACCTCTGTACAGTCAGCAGTACGACTTCGCCTTCGGACCTTAGGTTTGTTGCTTTTAGTCTTACCGCTCTTCAACCGACCTGTCTGACATGGTAGGTTGTTCCAGCCAGTATAGCTCGGTTGCTTCATCACGATAGGCAAGCCCGACCACCACGTCAAGGTAGCAACAACGGTCGGGGGGCAACGTGGTACATATGTATGAACACCGATCACCACGACGCACAATGCCAGCTAGTGTATGGGATGGTTGGAAGAAAGTTAGGGGTGGCCAAATCAAAACGTTATATCAGTGCTTGAAGTCACCAACTTCTAGTCTGAGTCATGTTAGTAGATGCAGACTACCTGGTTGGGGTCCACACGACTATTGTAACCAATGGTAGGAGACTCTGGGCGACATGGTTCAGAATCGATCACAGTGGCGTCGGTGTATTCACTCTTTATCTTCCCTTAAACTATGAGATTAAAATTGCTATGTATCTTTGTTTCTACGAACTAATTCTTTCTTCCTGTACTACATACTTATATTCAATCTTTCTTTTATATATTACCACCATCGAAGTGACTACTTCTATGAATTCGGTCTTGTGCTAATGAGGTATGGCGAATTGGACAGATGCACAGATGTGCCTGGTCTTACGTTGTAGCTGACTGACTGACTGAAGTACATCCAGTTGACGAGTCCCAAATAGGACGAAATGCACGTCAAACTGGACTCCACTGCCAGCCACTATCCATCTTTGCTTAGAATGTAGAAAAAATAGTTTTCAAAAGTATTTTTCATGAACTGTTAAATATCAGCTGTCTGATTCCATTGTAAAACGTTTTAACTGTACTTATCCGTGATCTATAACTTGAACTGAACTCTCAAGCATTTTTTATCACAGTCAGTTCAGTGTTACTTGTTGTCCTCATCACGGATCCTTTAACTAACTTTGGAATTTATAACATCGTCTCATTTTAAGATGCCATTTCTTAAACCAGCAACTGATTTGTATTGAAAATTCGTCTAGCATTGTATAAATTTCATAGCGTTTAATTTAGTCACTTTTTTAATCCTATTCTGTTTACATTTTTTAAGGTTTTACTTTATATAATGAGTTAACTTATCCACTTTGCGTCCAACTAATTCTAATGGATGGTAACTATATTCAGTTGTTACGCTTTCAATTGAATTCAATAACATCGTTATGGAAAGCTGAGGATTCAATGTTACCATATAATTTAGCTTGGTATTCTCCACGAGTAGAATTGTGTAAATTACAATCTGATTTAGAGTACGTTTTTAATTGTTATTGTTATTGTTGTTACCGTTATTTTATACAATGAAATAATCACTGTTTGTTGGTAACATATTAACGGATATTCGATCAACAGAATTATTTTCACTGGTTTTTATCGACACCTTTAAACCTCAACTGGTTAAGTAGTAATAGTTTGCAAAGTAGATTATCTATACTAACAGCTTAATTTGATTGTTTATAAATGACACGGTTGGAATGTGGTTACTACAATAGGTGCAGCCCAGGCGTTATAATATCTCTTTCCTAAAAACGACGTTTTTCGTCAACTGTAGGCAGCGGCGCGTAAGATAGTAGTCTTTCCAGACGGAAAAATGATTTAGCTCCATAGTTTTTGTGGTTTAGAAGTGACCCAAACCAGGTTGAAAATGATTGCGTTCATCAGGTTCTTTCTCTGGGTTGCATACAGTATTTAAGATGATATTGGATTACTGTAACCCGCTGAATCAATCAAGTTCGAGTAAGTTTAGATCAGTTTGTGTTAAATGGTACAACCCTGGGAACGTGACTTCTTGGAAGGGCATGGTGCATTGCAGTTACCCCAACAGACATAAATGACTTACACAACATCCGGGAGCTGTGCGAATTGTTTTCTGGATATGGAAGTCATTCGTCATCCTCCAAAACCTCCACGACACTATCATAATATCTGAAGCGCATCTATCTGGGTACGCATTAATATGTACAGCGGGAACCCCCCCTGAGGTTATAATTTTACACTTTGCTAATCGACTAAAGGAGCTTTTGATAGGTTTGAATCCGCTTTCACCTCTGGATCGGGTTGTACTGGGTCGATGACAGTCGAGATGATCGTCTTGATGGCCAAAAGATTTTCACTGACAACAACATTGTTGTTTTAGAGTCCAAGAACGGCGCTTATTGATGGGCTTGGGTGTGGTACATCAAGTACTATGTAGTTCTAAGGATACCAGATTATGAATGAAAACCTTAGGATGAACATATAGTGAAGACAAGACCGCCGGATAGAAGAATAGCACACAGAAATAAACCTGATTATATGTCATTTAACAAATAAACCAATGGAGAATATGAATTCCTCAATTCTGTCATTTGCCAATGAAATTAGTATCTGACTGTCATCTCTGATTCTTGGTCGTCAAATCACAGTTCCGATAAGTGCTTTTTAGAGCAGCAGCGCTGTGAATATTTATACAAAACTTCAGAATGTCATTCACGTTTAGTATGTCATGTGTAAGTAGAGTGGGTGTAATATTTCTTCAGTGTAGTTACGATGTAAAGGGATATCCGTCCACAACCTTTATCCCAACGAACTATGATCTGCTATTATACTTGTCAGCTTTTTTTGTAAATATTGAAAGAGTAAAAATTAATACTGATATATTTTTATTATTTCACTAGACATAACGAAACATTCACTGTAAATAATGAAGCTATCTCACTTTTAACATCTGCTATGTTACATCCTGTGGATAAAATTACTTCTAGTGAGTCACTTCGTCCTTATCTTGCTGACGGAATGGCACCAAGAAACTATCTTATAGATAAATCATCAGCTAAACATTTAATTCCATCTTCTGAGGAAGATAAATATTATCATGAGAAATTTGGTGATATGACCAAATTGCAACTTAGTGAAACAGAAATGAATGCTTTAAGATCTAGTGGCGAATTAAATAAATCAAAGAAATCAACGCGTTTGTATACTTCAAAACGTCCACATCCAAATGATATATTCTACTTTAAAGTATGTTTCCCTTTTATAGAAAACTATCTTTGTAATCTACTTATTATACATACTATCCATGTTTATTAAAATTGTGTCTTTCCTAGACATTTTAATGCAATGTGAATAGTATTACTCTTCGCAATTAACGACAATACTAAATCTAATGATCAACCTAACTTAAGGATTTAAGTATAAGTGGCACAGAAATGGACGAAATATATACTGAAGTGTTTCTTAAAATAGAAATTAGTTCTTCAGTGCCGTTTTTTTAACTTAGTCAATTATATTTTTACAAAAGAAACAACCATTTTCCTGTGTTTTTAGTGAATTTATTAAACCGAACAGTTGTATTCATTTGAACTTTCATTTTCCCATTATTAATGTACATTTGCTTCTGATGGTAATCACTATCGAAATGTATCCATAAGACCATTAGTCATTATATTATTTCGAAGGTGTTTGCTTAATTTGGTGGTCCGATTGTTCATTTATTTACAAAATAGAAAAGATTTTGTAAAATAGGGCACTATGTAATTCATCACTCACTGTGAAGCTACAGTGGCGTGAAAGTTGTTAACAGCGAAATCGTTCCATAAACAAATAAATATGATGTTAATTTGGTATGTACCAAACAATATGGTTCAACTCAGCCAAGATGGATTCCTCTCATTTCAAACTACATCATTTCTTTTTACAAGAAATGTAGCAGTGAGTTATAACAAGTTGACCCTTGGTTTCTATTCGTATCCACAACTAATTTCCGTAATCTTCAGAATCTAATCATGATTCTAACGGAACACTGTTGTTCTTTGTTATACCATTCTATATAATAAACTGACCACCTGTATGAGTTATAGAATCTCAGGCACACAATACAATGGGCTATTTAAAGGCTGTGTAGCTAAGTCACACAACCCGATATTCCACTTATTGAATTACCGTCTTCACAATTTATGCTTTCACTGGATGAGAGGGGTTAGTCCTCCCGAGACAACAATTACTGGACATAACGAGTCGCTAAACATTGTAACACAAATGGTGTATGCTTGACAGTTTTCAACCATTTCAACATCATTGCTTTTGACAGTATCGCACTCCAAATACAAATATTTTGTGTGGCGCATACAGTTTTTGGTGTATGGTGGTAACTTACTTTATATGAGTTAAACAAATAAACAACCAAGTATTAGAACAAAACTACATCTGGATTGGACATCATCAATAAACTTTTGATTTATTGTTTTGCCGTTATCCATCATGTTTACTTCACAGAACTATGAAATGAATGATCATTTCGTACAATTTCTCAATAAATGTTTATAAAGGTAGTATTTCAACAAAACCATTTAAATGGTAGTTAGTTTCAATTTATCATTATTTGCGAAACACTTGATTATAATAACATTCTTCTTAAGCTTATAATTGTTAGCAACCTTATACATTGCTTCAAAATCATTAAATACAATTTAAGAAGAACTCTAATGAAGTTCGTAAGCTAAATGGTCTGATAAACCTAGAGATTAGACGTCTCAACTCTATGTTTACTCAAAAACGCTTGTCTTGCAAAAACTCTCCAAGTATGTGGAAACTCTTTAAAGAACTTACAGGTGACAGACAGTTTAGGAGCGATAGCCAGCTGAATGTTTGTGACTTAAATAAGTCTTTTGTACGTCAGTTATCTGATTTGATGCTCCCTTTATCCACAGGTTTAAATAATAACTGTGTTCCTACTTTCACTGAAACTGATGTACGAAGATGTCTCCAGTCACTTAATTCATCTCGATGTTTGGGACCTGATGGTATCCCAAACATCCTTTTTAAAAAGTGTGCTGACGTCCTATGTTATCCGTTCACAACTATCATTAACAGATCCTTCCCATCTAATCTCATACCGAAAATATGGAGAAAGATGAAGATAATTCCTGTACCCAAGAAAGCATCTGGTGATAAGAATGTAAAATTTAGACCTATTGCAATAACTTCACCCTTCCTCAAAACAATGGGAAAAATTATTAATACTTTCACTTCAGCCTGCGATAAAAGAGCATATTGATCCATATCAGTTTGCTTACAGATGCAAAAGAAGCACTTTAGATACTGTTGCTGTTCTGCATCACAACATAGTGTTCAACTTAGAAAAGGGAAAGAAGTATGTTCGATGTGCTTTTCTGGACTATACTTCAGCTTTTGATTCTATACCAAGACAACGTTTACCTAACAAGTTAATCAGCGTCAACACTGACAGCTGGATAACCAACTGGCTATGTTCCTACCTCTCTGGAAGGGAACAGTACACTATATTTGGAGGAAAGTGTTCAGAGTCTCTACTGTCTCATGAAGGTGTACCACAAGGAGCTGTTCTTTCACCTCTTCTTTTCTCTTTTTTTCTGCATGATCTGCCATCTTCCACAGTAAACACTTTTTTGAAATATGCGGATAATCTTACTATATGTATGCTTATCTCTTCCTCTTTACATCCCATAGGAATGAATGAGTTTTTGTCTCATATTGATTGTTGGTCTGTTGATAATGGTCTCATACTTAATCCGTCTAAATGTCAGGCTGTTAACCTTAGCATGAGACATGAACGGAATTAAAACATCATTTTGAGATCCCATAATGCTTGTGTCATTGGAGACTCTTTGACAAACACAGTATCGAAGGTCAACTATCTTAGTGTTACCTTTTCCTCTGATCTGTCTTGGTCTTCCCACGTTTTATTGTTATCGAAGAAGGTTTTCCGTCTGACCTACTACATAAAGAGATTGCATGCTCTTGGGATTACTTGTCATTTACTCTTACAATTTGTCAATTCTTGCATATTACCTATTATTCTTTACTGTTCTCCATTATTCTTTCCCGGGCTTTTGAGGAAAGACTTTGCTGTATTGCGGAGAGTGTTGAAGGTAGTTAGCAAGGTGTATGGTGAATCTTTCGAGGTCATAGTTAATATGCTTGTGGATAGACATCTAAAGTCATGCAAACTCCTGGCAGGTGTTATCTTATCAGATACTAACCATCCCCTTCACTCTTATCTTTCTTGTATATCTTCTCGTAGAACGAGATGTAATTGCATTAAAATCAATGCACGCAAGCAAAAGTATAAAAGTTCTATAATACCTTACCTAGCAAATATGCTCTGTGACGAACAGGTTGTTAAAGTGAACCTAGTCAATAACCTGCATTCTTAAAATGTCTTTAATTTTAAAAGTTGTACAGTTTTCCGGGTTTTCTCTTTTTAAACCTTTTTTTGTATCTTTGTATTGTTTTTGTTGTTGCGTAAGTAACTTGTTGAAATACCCTGTGCTGAGAATTCTATATTGTACCAAAATATAATATTGAATAAAGCCATTAATAATAATAAAATAAGTGACTCATTCACTAAGTACTTGAATATGAGTCACATTCACTTCGAGGAGTAATGATACTACCTCCAGTTACCCAATCCGAAGTATGTGGAGCGGCGTTCGAATCTACAGTCATTCATCTTATGTTGGTAACTTATATCGCTACTTGTGTTGGTCACTAGTGATCTGAGAAATCTAACAAGGAATATAGACTAAGCATAAAGCTAAACAATTTGCTGGTAAATTCGATGTTGATTTATTTGAGAGAATATTCAGTACATGTTAAATTTACTGGAGTAACTCACTGGAAGTCGGTTAAATTCAAAACTTTCTTGACCTCTCGGAAATGCCCTGGTACGACCGAGAGTGGGTACAGTTAGCTCTTCCTCTCGAAATGCTCTCAAGTGGCCACGTGCATACAACCACTGCCAGGACTTGTTTTCGAAATTGAGAGGACGAAAAGCGAGTGTCCGGCACTTTAATCGGGTTTGTGGATATAAAGGATCCACCTAGGGGAGTTGGAAAACCATTATTCCAAACCAATAATGCACATGGGCTCCAGAATCCTGAGGGAACAAATGGAGTATGAACTTATTGTTGGTTATCTGCTACCATGGGACTGCATGTCCTAACGCTGCTCCACTGCCTTGTGGATTAGACCTTCAGGTTAAAGGCTCGGGGTGTGGCCCCCTAAGAATACCACTTGCTTCGGTCTGGGCACCTGGGTAGTATCACAGCCCTCACATAAATCGAATGATTCATGTGGTGCATATCTATTTAGTGCCTCCTTGTACCAATGTTCATATGTTTAAATAAGGAATAGCATGAATAATGAATGGTTCTGCAATAAATAATGATTCGCTCAACTTAAATCTCATTTTCAAATGGATAAACATAAGACTCAATCCTCAACACTGATAAGCACAAAAATAACCGATTCAGTAAGGTTGCCTTAATAGAACATATGTTAATTGATCAGAGAACAATTAGCTTAACAATAATTACTTTGACCCGTAAAATAAAAAGGAATGATTTCTAATTACTCATAAGTAGTATAGTTAGAGTACGCAAATTTCACTCGGTGTCTCTTTTACTGGTTCTTGGTTTAATAAGTGTAAAACTGAGTTTGTCTGTTATCCAAGTATGGTTTTTGCTTGTTTTATGACTGAATTTCTATTTCATTACTAATGAATTAATTTAGTTTGAGGCATATCTTAACAACATGTTCCATTTAGCCTCCAAAATATGAATCGTGTATCTCAAACATATTGGGTTTATATACAAGCCAAACAGACCACATCGTATGATAAAATAGAAAACAACATTTGTACAAGATTTAGCCAAAAGTGGTTGTAAATGTGCGAGACTAGACGTAACTCAAGGATGGTAAATCATTTAATAATAGTTTCTAAGTCAAAGTAGAGCTTATAATAAGAGAAACATGAATATGCATAGTTTAGCTACTTAATAATTATACAATAAAAATATATATATTGTATTGATCCATAAATATTTCTCAAGAATTACCATTCATAATTCTCGTCGGGATATAACAAGTGTATTATTGTGTATTTTTCTAAAATAAATTATTTTATTTATCATGTTTTTTTTATCTTGAACACAGTTAACAGACAAGAATACTCTTATCAATGAAATCAAAGAAAAAATGCCTGATTTCGGTGGACCATTTGGAGAACTTCCAGAGCCTTATAACAGTAAATTAAAAGAATATCAAGTGTTCAAACGTAATTCACAACCACGATTACGTGTTCAGGCTCCTCCGCGTCGTTGGCGTTGATTAACTTCAGGCACTTCAATTCAATAATTACTTGTAATAGTTTTTTTGGGATTTGTTCTAAAACAGAATACAACTGTATAGAAATATAAGTTTTATTTGCATTTAAAAATGTTTTTTATTTGTTGGTCAGTGTAATAGTTATGAACGGACTAATTGTATTAATTGTCATTTTTTCGAATTCCCTTAGATGAAATTCATCATTTTACTTTTTATTAGAAAGAAGGGTAACTTTATTGCACCAATTAGTTTGTTCTACTGAACATCATTTCAGTTTTATTTTATATAATCTTGTTGTGTATAGACTGTTAGCGATAACGTCATGTTTCTAATTCATTTCAAGTTGGGTTTTTATAGATTTCGCTGATTATGTTAATTGTTGTCGCTATTCTGAAATCACTGATATCATTTAAGTTTTCAATATTATGTTCAATAAGAAAGAGTTTATACTTGAACAGTGAGTAAACTGAGTTCTCATACCTGTTGCATCTCACCGACTCATATTCATAATATCGGATCGACTAATGTGTATGTTTCCCCTTTTATTTCGGAAATATATTCAGTTTTCGTTTAGTCTTGTCTGCATTGGTGATACAGTAAGGGCGTCAATCACTTGGATTCCTAATCACTTTATCTATGTTATAAAAGTGAAAAGGTTATGGTTACACTTCTGATTGTATATCTAACCTACAACCCAACTGATTGGAGCTGGATAAACTCAGCCAAGTATGATAATCTAACAATGTGACACAGACTCTATACAAACACACTGTAGTGTAAACCTGTGTTTTGTATTTACATGCTTATCTTAGCAATCACTTGATTCAAGTATTTACAATTTTTCAATAATTCATTCAAGGTCAACAGCAATTAACACAAGCTAAGGACATTTTTGTTCCACTCAAATAACAATAAGTAATGCTTCAGTATCCCTGTCTGGTAATCATCAATTCTGTTGAAAAAAAGAGAGAAACTAGTAGCATAATCGGTAATTAATTAAACTTGTCTTCGCATCTCACTTTTACATTGATTGTTCCCTCTTGTAATCAACAAGATTTAACGTCTGGTGGTTATATTAAAGCAATCATAAAATAAGTGCTTATATTTGAATTTGCATGTGTAATTGTGTATGATTGTCTTTTTTGTGTCTACGATTTTCTTAGTCTGTCCAATTGATAATTATGAATAACCTTTTTTATTACATCATGGTTAACTGTGTTCACATTTCCTCACGGAATTAGTACTTTTACAAAAACAAAATTTTCATATATATACGACTGTACAGCTCGATAATAATTTCGTTGAAAAGAGATCCCTTCGCTAAACTTCGTATTTTAATTATGGATTTGTATGTTCATTTCCGTGTGATTTTAAATAATTTAGCCATAATTATCATTTAATCCATCAATTACGCCATAGCACAGTGATAACTTGTTTGGATATATTTTATTCTGAATCAATAATCAAAATGTTGGGGAGACCCAGAATATTCCTTGAAAAAAGCCTGTGAAAACTCTGGGGAACATTTTGTCCAATCAGCATTCAGTAGAAGCTTCTTAGAAACATCTAGAAAGTGGAGTCACGTGTCACATTTCTGATTGAATGATTATATATCCTGTTACTACGTCTAGTAGGGTTTCAAGAACCCAAGACCATCTGAAGTGTTATAAATACTCTAGATTTTCTGTACATATACGAACTTTGGAGTAAAGCGTTCTTTCCATCTTTCGCTCCTTTTCTCTCGTGCTCAAGTTGTCGTGTAGAGTTAGCCTGGGGTTATTAAAAGAGCTTAGAAAACAGATTCAAGCGTTCCGTCAGATGATTTATCACGTAGTATTAGTATAATAGTGACATCTACTGGATCGTAAATTATTTTAACTTGAAATCTATCACTAAGTAACCGATACTCAATTGCTTCAACTAGGTTCAAATCTGAAGCGTTTTCAACCATATGAAACCAATACTTTGATTGATTGTACTATTCCCACATGACCTTATCGCCTATTTTTGTCTGGTAATGACTGAAATTTGATTTTTTTTTATAAGACAGTCTGTTTTAGTGAGTTGAATATCCATATACGCATTATATATGATTAATAGAAACAATGAAAATCCGGGCCTTCAACCATATATGTGATAGTTAATAAAGACGTATTTAAGGTGAAATATCTGTCACAAATACTCAAACTTACCACTTTGTTCTCATTTAGCAATTGAGAATTACTCGCTTTTTATGGAGTAATACATGAGTTGAATTGACACCTCCAAGGCAACATTGAATGGTATTTAAAAATTCTATATAGTCAAACTTCCTCAGGTTTTACACTTATCTGGCAGCGCAATGTCTGACTCTATGCAGTAGGGAATTCTCTGTTCAACATATGTAAAACGGATAACTACATACTTTATATTTAGATCAAATTAAAATCAGATTCGCAATGAATGATAATTGTAAGCATCTTGAAATTGATACTCCATAGGGATTTTCAACTATCCTCATCAAAGCTTACAGTCCTATCGGTAGTTTACGTCAAATGCCATTGTCATATCTCGTTATTGAGGTTCAGTACAGATCTAAAATACTTCAGAAACTAGAAAAACGATTCAGTTACTTTAATAAGATTAGTTCTTTTTATAATGTATAACTGCAACTAACATTAAACGCATCAACACTTGATAGCTAACATAAGAAGGTGAATTTGATAGAAAAACTTGGTATTCGAGGTAGGACGAACAATACAGAAAGAATTGGCACAAATTTGTAAATACATTGTAACAAAAAACAATAATCATTAAGCATACAGAAATTTAGTGAACTGAAAGCAATGACAACTAATTAGAAAAAGACACTTATAGTAAGATTTCAAGATTGTTAAAAAAATTTGTGGTCACCTTAGGAAAAAAAATACATTACGACCTTAAGTTGAGTAGTTTAATTTTTATAATGAGAAATGTATTCTTTAGAATTCAGTTAATACTACATAGTAGTTACTGGAAAAAAAAGTTTTATAGACTGATTCGGTATAAGTACCAATATCATTTACGAGATTATTCAAGTTTATGTAAAATAATTTAAGATTTATTTTATTCAAGACATATCTATCATCATTATTTTCTCACTAATATCTCATGGCATTTCTTCCTAAATAAATACAAGGTAATTAATTTATAATGATGAATATCTTAATTCAATGCCTTATCTCGTTTCATTCATTTAAGTATTAAGTAATTTCTTGCATTACATTCATTAACTATCATTGTATAATCAAGTTAAATATAAAGAATTATTTGGCTTTAACTCGTTCGTTTTCTTTTTATTATGAGACTGATAAGTGATATGATAGAATTTAGACAATAATAAATTATTTGATTCTATAAAAAATGGTTTCTTGTTAATCTCGTTTAAAATGTTTCTTTATGTTGATTATTATGACAAACTAACTTATCTGCTGATTAATATTAAAAAAGTGAATAATCCTTAATTTCTTAAAACTTTGTTGTTAATTTGTTAGGGGCGGCCAAATCAAAACGTCGTATCAGTACCAACTTCTAGTCTGAACCATGTTGGTAGATGCTGACTACGTAGTTGGGGTCCGCATGACTATTGTAACCAGGGGTTGGAGACTCTGGGTGACATGGTTCAGAATCGATCACAATGGCGTCGGTGTATTCACTCTTTATCTTCCCTTAAACTAAGAGATTAAAATCGCTTCATGTCTTTGTTTCTACGAAGTAATTCTTTCTTCCTGTACTACATACTTATATTCAATCTTTCTTTTATATATTACCACCATCAAAGTGACTACTTCTATTTAATTCGGTGTTGTGTTATTGAGGTATGGCGAATTGGACAGATGCACAGATGTGCCTGGTTCTACGTTGTAGCTGACCGATTGACTTATTGCTAATTGTTCAGTGAATACATGGTTGCACCATAGAAAGCTGTTCGACTTCACCGTATGAGTTTGTATAAACGAAACATAGTTGTTTGATACTATGATCACAAAATTCCTGGGAATAACTCAACTTAACCATAATAATTTGTAGTTCTGACAAATAAGCAAGTTGACAGAGCTAACGTTTCACTATTATTACTCTGATTTGTACTATTAGATGATTAGTTCTTGGCTCTTTTCTTTAGCTATTCGGTTGTTCTTTTCATAAGATTAGAGTTGTCACGATTATAGGCAAAATTAGTGCATCAGATTTATGAGTTCTAATGTCAACGAAGGCTCTCTTGCCAAGAACCATCTTCTATTCACTTTTATAGTGACGTTGGAGAAACTATGGTTAAAATGTTGTTATTCCGCAGCGAAAGAAGCTAGTAGGTGAGAATAAAAGGAGGGAAATTCCTTGCTGACATTAAATTCATGATAGCTGGATTTCAATGAATATCGAAAAGTAGTGATTCTTTTAAACGATATCAAAATAATCGTTTAATATGTCCTTGTGCACATATTTTATTTTTTGAAAGTATTGCTTAATTAATTTATGTAATCATTTCTAGATGAGATCTGTTTAGTTGAATTCACAATGATAAGCATCAAAGAAGTGTAAATTTAAAACTAATAATATTGTACTGTAACTTAAACTAATAAAAAAATTCAAACAGACAGTAATTAAGTATTTAAAGTGTACTACGATTAAAATATTCATCATTATTACTTGTAATTTCCAGTGTTGTTACCAAATAGCTACAAATAAATTAATAAATACTTTAAAAAGTTTGATCTTTGTCAAATCACATTGATAATTTATGTAGGTGAATATGACAGGATCAAACGTTTTTATGATGTAATTCCACAGGTTTATTTCGTATATGAGAGAGAGACAGACAAAAAAGACGAGTCTTTTCAACATCTATGATGCATATTCTCGTAATTACTTTTTATTATTCTATACAATAAAGACTGATAATCAGTGAATAACGTTTAGTTATGTCATACATAAATATGAAATAAATGAGGGCACGCAACTAGAATGAAAAATTGTAAAGGTTTTGCACATAATTTTCCTCTTTTTCATATATCATTACTTAAAAGTAATAACTGTAACAATAATGATATCATTAGTAGTGATGAAAGTCATAGTATCACTAATACTACTA